TAAACATCACATAGAACCTTATACATGAATTCTAATGGAATATGTCATACATTTCATATACATAGCATTTGAGCAATTGAATTACAAATTATGAATATTAAACTTGAATACCATTACATATGCCATAATTACAAGCTTTGAACTAAAAGAATACAAGCTTCTAAAAATATATGGCTTTACAAAATGTTCTCCAAAATACAAAATAACACCATAAGATACTCCACGGGGATTATGCATGCTTATTTTCCCTATTGGTACTAGCTCCTCCTCCTTGAGGTCCTGAAACATATTCCCAAAAAAGGGTGAGATAAAAATCTTAGTAAACTAAGGGTCCTTGGAGAATTACTCCACCTTTAAGTTCATTTTCTTGTATGAAGGGTTAGATCACATGGCATAATAACAACATATATCTAGAGGCAAAATAGAAATGATTGAACTTGTGCACCCATAACATTAGGATCACTCAAATGAGCCGTCTCTCAAAGTGAGTGTCTGTATGGAACTTCCAAGAGTCGTCATTCTTAGGATAAATCATGATGGGAAGTCTATACAAGAGTTCAATTGGCCAAATAACTAAACAATCAAATCATCACATAAGTTTTTAATTGCATATTAGTTTGTCTACTAATCCTAGCTCAATGGTTGTTCCAACTCAGATTCGATACACCCAACAACAGTCATACACATAATACTAAGGATTCAAGTATTAATTTCATCCTTAAGCTCATTTTCTTGTATGAAGGGTTAGATCACATGGCATAATGACAACATATATCTAGAGGCAAAATAGAAATGATTGAACTTGTGCACCCAGAACATTAGGATCACTCAAATGAGCTGTCTCTCAAAGTGAGTGTCCGTATGGAACTTCCAAGAGTCGTCATTCTTAGGATAAATCCTCATGGGAAGTCTATACAAGAGTTCCATTGGCCAAATAACTAAACAATCAAATTATCACATAAGTTTTTAATTGCATATTAGTCTGTCTACTAATCCTAGCACAATGGTTGTTCCAACTAAGATTCGCTACACCCAACAACAGTCCTACACATAATACTAAGGATTCAAGTATTAATTTCATCCTTAAGTTCATTTTCTTGTATGAAGGGTTAGATCACATGGCATAATAACAACATATATCTAGAGGGAAAATAGAAATGATTGAACTTGTGCACCCAGAACATTAGGATCACTCAAATGAGTCGTCTCTCAAAGTGAGTGTCCGTATGGAACTTCCAAGAGCCGTCCCTTTTAGGATAAATCCTCAAGGGAAGTCTATACAAGAGTTCAATTGGCCAATGAACTAAACAATCAAATCATCACATAAGTTTTCAATTGCATATTAGTCCGTCTACTAATCCTAGCTCAATGGCTGTTCCAAGCTAGTTTCGCTACACCCAACAACAGTTCTACACATAATACTAAGGATTCAAGTATTAATTTCCTCATTCAATCGCTCGTTCATAAAACCCTAATTTTCCATGAAAACCTAACTTATATACTCATGAAAACCAACAAAACCCCAAAATAAACCATAGAAACTTACCTCAAATACTTTACAATTGGAAGGAACTAAAATCCCAAGCATCAAAGTGGAGAAACTCCATCTTTCCCTTCCTTGAAGGTGGCACACATCAGTGGAGAAGGAGAGGGATTAGGTTTCTTCTTGGTTTCCTACTAAGTCGGCTATGTGAAGGTGAAGTAAGGAAAGTTATGGATGATTGATGGTGTAAGGTGGTGGCTTACTTTAAGCTTCAAGAAGGAAAAATGAAATTTTCATGGGGTGAGAGGGAGGGAGTGTCACTAGTTTTGGAAGAGAAATGAGAGAGATAAGACTAGGGGTGCTAAACGAACCAGGGGCCTTTCAGGAGCCTTTGACTCGGCTCGTGAAAGCCTGAGCTTATATGTCTAAAATTGGTAGTTGGCACCAGGCTTGAACTTGTATAAAAGCTCATTTAATAAAAAGGCCTTAGGCTCCAATTTAAAAGCTCAGCTTTAGAGCCTCTCAGGCTGACCTAGTATATTATTTTTTATTTTTTTTTTTATTTTTTACACTACTTGTAATAACCCTTTCTTTCTTCCCAATCCATTTCACCATATTTTATTGGTTAAACAGAATTTCTGGATTATTTTGTTCTATATTATGCTGTTTGGATATACATTGAATTTATGAATATTTATAGAATTACTAGTGTTGTTGATTGTATATTTTGTTTTGATAAATTTTTGTTATCTTACTTTTTTAAAACAGGCTAACAGGCTTAAACCAGTCTTTTAATTTTTGTAAATAAGTCAGGTCACAAGCTGATAATTATATTTATAACAGGTAACAAACTTGGTCAGACTGACACATTTAAACACAGACTTAGCCTTTTAAGATCAAAGCTCGGCTCGGCTCGTTAACACCCCTAGATAAGACTCAAGGGAAAAGTGAGGGACGAGAGAGTGCTTCAACTTTTACAAAATATCTCTTGGGATGAAATGATCGTTTTGCCCTTTAGCTTCCCTTCCTTTTACAACTCTACCACTCACTCACTTAATCATTAATTTTAACATTAATTATGATTATTGGATTAGTGTGCAGTGTATCACAAATATTTAATTCTATATGGGACAGTTTTTACATAATTACAATTTTACCCCTAATTAATTTAGCCCCAAAATCAATTTTTTTTTTTTTGGTAAATCAATATTTTTTATTTAATTAGCCCTCTAATGCCCATTTACTAGTTTTAATTACTTGGGTTATTATAATTTGCAAGTTTAGAATGCAAACATCCTATTGAAATAGAAGTTGATGTCATGACTAACACAAACAAACTCGAATCAACATCAAGAATTCTAAATGAACATAAGGCAATTGATATAGTTTGTGAGAATCTCAAGCTTTTCCATCCAATTCAATACAAACAGACAATATAAAGCCTGTATACAGTTAATGGACTAAATTTAAAACATGTGAACTCTTTAAAAATAAAATAAAATTAGTTTCACAGAAATCTAATCCAAACATGCATTTTAAGCAAGAAATTCATTACGTATAGAATTTTTTTTGAAAAACTCTAACTAATGAGGAGGGAAAAGGGTTGTAGATTGGTGGGTTTAACCAAGAAAAACATCTGGCCAAGTGAACAAAAAATGATCATTAGAATCATCTTCAACAGGATTAAAGAAAAGGTAAATGTGGGACCCATCTTGGACACCACAATCAACAAGAGATGCCTTTTCTTCCTCTTTGCTCATCAAAGGCCTACAATCAGCATCAAGAACAAGGATCAGACGATCACAAGGGAGTTTCTGCTGGGCCTCAATTTCCCTCTTAAGATCTTCGACCGTGGCATCATTTCCCACTTGCACATAGAAGAGTGTTCCTGTCAAATTCTCCACCACCACCTTCATGGTCCTATACACCAACAACAACTATATATTACTAATGCTAATTCATCTCTAAGATGTTTATACTTTGAACTTAAAAAACAAATGGATTTGAATATGGAAGGGGGAGTTACAGTTGAAGTTGCACACAAATGCTGAAGGGTGTTCATGTGTGCTGCATTCTCGGAAGTTAGTTTATCCGCATTGAATTGAATGAATGCATACTAAACTTGGAATGGCAAAATTGTCCATTTATCATTTTTTTTCATCTTAATAATATTATTATTTTTTAAACATTAATATAATATCCAAATCATAAATCTTTTGAGTAAGTATAAGTTGAGCTACAAATTAAGCTCATTGGCTTTTCCATGCAAATATTTATCCTCTAACCATCCGGATAAATAAATTTAAATTTTTTTAATCTTAAACTTAACTTTTAATCAAAAATAAAGTTAACTAACACGAATGAAAAAAAAAAATTTGTATCTATTATTGTAATTGATTAAAGGGTCAACTCAGATTTGACCGTGTGTGCAAGTTAAAATTAGGGCATGTGTTTCTTTGAAATTCTCTTTTACTTTTTCATCAAACTTTTTTGCCCCGTCTATGCTAAGAAAAAGGATCTTTAACTCTCTTGGATCCGATATATATGATCGCTTATATATAATTTTAGAAGGCTAAAAAACCAAATAAGAAAAAAAAAAGAAATTACTAAAAGATATAAAAAGAATAATATACTAAAGTGAAGATGTTTTGCGCATACGAACCTATCATATATGTAAAACATTATTTTACATGGCGTCTTCGCATTGTGTGACGTGAAATGGTGTTGATCTTTTCAAATAAAATTTACTATATCTCAAAAAAAAAAAATATATATTACTATGAGTGTCACGTGGTAGCATAAGAGAATACGCTACTCTATCTACATATTATAAAATGCCAGCACTATCAAATGGTGATAGCTCAATTGGCGTATGAGAGTTGAGTAAGTATGGGTGAGAATATGTGTTCGATCATTCTCAGTATCATCATTGAGAGGGATTTAAAGCCTTAATTCTAAACCTGTTCCAAATCAGACTAGTTACGAAGCGATGAATCGATTAGAATATTTCTTAAAAAAAAAATGTCGGCACTCCTATGGCATCATTATTGAAAGTGGGTTGGGCTATCTTTTGAAAGAGGGTTAAATAAGCCGACTTTTTTTATGGCAAGATATTAATCCATTGAATACATATAAGCAAGATATAGATCCATGTGACTTCTCATAAAATGCATATGGACCAATGTCTTACCCAAACACAATCCGCATGGCACTATAGCAATTTTTTAAAGGGTTATCTTTATCTTATTAGAATATACAATTTTATTATTTTTAATAGTTAGTTGCTGATGTATGGTGTTCTGTTATTAGGCCCATGTGCCATACGCACCACACACACTCTTTAGTGCAGTTTGTTATCTTTTCTCTTTCTTTTCTCTTACACAGTGAGTGATATAAGAGCCCTGCTCCATATACAGATACATATGAGATTTTCAGAATGAAATCAGTAACAAATTCTCTCAATATTCTCTTCTAATATGGTATCAGATGAATTTATTTGACCTCCGAGCCTCTCTTCATGGCTCGTGGTGGCAAAAACACCATCCCTACCTCATCCAATTCTTCCGCTACTAACGCCACTCCTTCCTCTACTCCTATGGAGGATTCTGCAAGTCCTTACTACCTTCAGAATGGTGATCATTCTGGTCTTATTCTGGTTACCCACTCCCTTAGTGGTCCCAATTTTAACTCCTGGAATCGAGTAATGCTTATTGCTCTTACTACCAATAACAAAGTGTGTTTCGTTGATGGCAGCCTTCTTCGACCTGAAGCTTCTGAACTTTTATTTGCAGCTTGGAACCAATGCAACTCTATGGTAACATCATGGCTTCTCAATTCTGTCTCAAAAGAGATTGTTGATAGCCTTATGTATTTTTCCACAGCATATGATTTATGGGAGGATCTTCGTGTGAGATTTCATCAAGCCAACGGACCACGAATATTTCAATTAAAGCAGCAAATCTCTTCGTTGCATCAGGGGAGTCTTGATGTCAACACTTATTACACAAAGCTGAAAATTCTCTGGGATGAACTCCAAGATTATTCTCCTAATTTCAATTGCACTTGCGGTGCTTTCGTATTTATCAATCTCCCAACAACAAGATTATGCAATGCAATTTTTAATGGGGTTAAATGACTCATTCTCTTCAATCAGAGCACAGATCTTACTCATGGAACCACTGCCTCCATTGTCTCACGTCTTCTCCTTGGTCATACAAGAGGAACATCAGTGACAAATCACACCCATTTTCCAACCATCTCTTGATACTCCGATGGTGAATACATCATCTAGTGCTCCTGCAAGTTCTGTTATGGCTTCATCGCCAGTCACTGCCGCCGTCTCAGCCCCACGACACTCTCGTCCTTATTGCACTCACTGCCAGAATTGGGCCACGTACGTGATAAATGTTTCAATCTCCATGATTTTCCTCCGGGTTACAAACCCAGAAGCCCTAGACCCCTATCTGGCCCATCCCAACACCAGGCACAAATTCATATGACCACATCCCAACCTATTCATTCTCCACAACACGATCCCATCACTCCCACTCAGTACAACCAACTACTTTCCCTTCTCACAAAATATCCTGATCCCACCACCGCTACATCCTCGTCCGATTTTCCATCTGCTACCTCCTCTACTGCAAATCCCATGATCGCAAGCTTCAGTGGTAAGATTTCCTCCTCCATTTCATCGAATTTTTGGGTACTTGATACTGATGCCATACACCATGTCACCTACCTTTCTTCTCTTCTTTCTCATCGTTCCTTTCCTTCTTCTTCTGCCTTTATTTCTCTTCCTAATGGTTCTAGCATCCCGATTTCTTCTATTGGAGATGTCCCTCTTTCTTCATCGTTAATTTTGCATCATGTTATTTTAGTTCCATCCTTTACACTAAATCTCATCTCTGTTAGTGCTCTTACACGGGATTCTAACATTGTTGCTCTTTTTTTCGGTTCCTTTTGTCTTCTCCGGGATGCTACAACTCACAAGACGATTGGGATTGCTAGGCGCACGGGTGACTTATATTTTTTTGATTCTTGAAACTTTTACCCCATTTCAGATGTCCCCCATCCCCTTTGCTCTTCTACTAATTTTCCTTCTTCTGTACTATGGCACACTCGTTTGGGCCATCCATCCCCTTCCCTTTTACAATCAATGAAAAATACCTTGCATTTTACAGACACTTTATCACATACACCATGTTCTGTTTGTCCTTTATCTAAGCGAAAAAAATTACCATTCATTTTAAATCCTCAAATGTCTTCAAATGCTTTTAGTTTAATACACTGTGATATTTGGGGCCCATTTAACCCCATTTCTGTTTCTGGTGATAAATATTTTCTGACCATCGTTGATGATGCTACACGGTTTTCAAGGGTTCATTTCTTGAAAAATAAATTTTCCACATTTTCCCCTTCTTTTTTTAATTTGATTTTTACTCAGTACTCATCTCCTATAAAGTCCATTCGATGTGATAATGCCCCTGAGTTCAATCTTCCTAAATTTTATTCTTCTAAAGGCATTCAAATATTTCATTCTTGTGTTGAAAGCCCTCAACAAAACTCTGTTGTTGAGTGCAAACATCAACATATTCTTAATGTTGCCCGTGCCCTGCATTTCCAATCCCATATTCCTCTAGCATACTGGTCCGATTGCGTTCTTACTGCGGTTTATCTGATTAACCGTATTTCATCCCCACTTCTTCATAATAAAACTCCTTTTGAACTTCTCTCCCACAAACCTCCATCCTATACTCATCTTCGTAACTTTGGGTGTTTATGTTTTTATTCCACTTTGTCTCGGGTCAGTCACAAGTTTTCTCCTCGCTCTTCTTCTGTTGTCTTCCTGGGATATCCCCCTGGATACAAGGCTTACAAACTTCTTGATTTGTCTACGAATCAAATTGTCATCTCTAGGGATGTTGTATTTCATGAATTAATTTTTCCCTTTGTCTCATCCAAATTTTTTTCCACTCCTTTAACTTCTTTACCTTATGTGTCAAATTCTGATCCTTCAAATATTACTACTGAAGCCTCTGATCATCATCCCACTAGACCATCTCGCACCAAATGGCCTCCACCACATCTCTCAGATTTTGTTTGCTCCACTTCTACCATACATCCCATTTCAGCCCATTTATCATACTCCATAATAAAACCTTCCCACCTTACCTTAATTAACAATATCTCCTCCTATTTTGAACCCTCATCATATGCTGAAGCCTCTCAATTACCCGAATGGTGTGATGCCATGGATGCAGAAATCATTGCTCTTAAAGATAATCAGACCTGGTCCATTGTCTCTCTCCCTGCAGGTAAACATCATGTTGATTGTAAGTGGATGTATCGAGTCAAGTACAACTCTGATGGATCTCTTGAGCGGTATAAAGCTCGTTTGGTTGCTAAAGGATTCACTTAACTAGAAGGCCTAGATTACATGGAGACCTATTCTCCTGTTGTAAAAATTACAACAGTCCGCCTTCTCCTTGCTCTTGTTGCCATACATAATTGGCATCTAATTCAACTAGATGTCTCTGCCACCAGGCTATCCTACACAGGGGGAGCTACTACCATCCAATGTTGTTTGCAAGCTTCACAAGTCACTGTATGGTTTAAAACAGGCTTCTCGCCAATGGTTTGCTAAGTTCTCTTCAATCCTTTTATCCTTTGGTTTTTCTCATTCACAGACTGATCATTCTTTATTCACCAAACATTCAAATGACTCTTTTGTTGCTGTTTTAGTCTATGTTGATGACATACTAGTAGCCTCCAACAATTCTGATCAGGTCCATCATCTTACATCTTTTCTAGACAGCAAATTCAAATTAAAAAATCTAGGTTCCTTGAAATACTTCCTTGGTATTGAAGTTGCTCGATCTTCTGTTGGTATATCCATCTGTCAACGTCATTACACATTACAAATTCTCTCTGATGCTGGCTACCTTGGCTGTAAACCAAAGTCTACACCCATGGAGCCTAATCTCAAGCTATCATCCACCAATGGTGATCTTCTTCCTGATCCATCTCAATATAGAAGACTGATTGGTCGCTTATTGTACTTAACAATAACTCGACCTGATATTTGTTACACGGTTAATCATCTAAGTCAATTCATGTCTGCTCCTAGAGCTCCTCACCTTGCTACTGTTTACAGAGTATTGGCCTATTTAAAGGGTACTCCAGGTCAAGGCTTATTGTTTTCTTCTTCATCAAAAATTCAGTTAAATGCCTTCTTTGATTCAGATTGGGCTTCTTGCCCTGATACCAGAAGATCTGTCTCTGGTTTTTATGTTTTCCTGGGCAATTCACTCATCAGTTGGAAATCAAAAAGAACAAGCTACTGTGTCCAAATCATCAGCTGAATCTGAATATAGGTCCATGGCTGCTGCAACATGTGTACTCATTTGGTTATTCTCCTTACTTAGAGATTTTCACATTAATCATCCTACTGCTGCTCATCTATTTTGTGATAATGTTGCTACCCTCCTTATAGCTGCCAATCTTGTGTTTCATGAAAGAACAAAGCACATTGAAATTGACTGCCACTTGGTTCGACAACAAATTGTTCACGACTGCCTTCAAACCTTTCCAATTGCTTCTGCACAACAGTTGGCTGACATTCTCACTAAAGCATTGCATCCTGCTCAGTGTTCTTCTCTGCTTTCCAAGATGGAAGTGCACAATATCCACTCTCCATCTTGAGGGGGAGTATTAGAATATACAATTTTATTATTTTTAATAGTTAGTTGCTGATGTATAGGTGTTCTGTTATTGGGCCCATGTGCCATATGCACCACACACACCCTTTAGTGCAGTTTGTTATCTTTTCTCTTTCTTTTCTGTTACTCAGTGAGTGATATAAGAGCCCTGCTCCATGTACACATACAGATGAGATTTTCAGAATGAAATTAGTAACAAATTCTCTCAATATTCTCTTCTAATATATCTCATTTTACATAAGATAAATAATATTCCTATACAAACAAAAGGGTTGGGTCCCATAACTCTTTTTTCTCTCTCATCTTATCTGTGGGTTCCACTTGTAATTTTAATTCTACAACATGAGATAATTATTTTTCTACAACATAAGAAAAGTATTTCCCTTTTTTAAAAGGAGAAATGCTATTTCATGTGATGTCATGCAGGGTGCCACGTGGAATAGTATTTTACACACATCTGCAAAACAAGCCCATTTTGGTATATTATATAATTTTGATAATTTTTACTTATTTAGATTTTAGCCATATATAAGAAAGCACAATGGCTTACATGTATGTTTGGCTAATATTTTTTTAAAAAATACGTTTAAAATATTTATTTTTTTATAGATTTTTAAAGAGGTTACTATTTTAAAAAAAAATGAATAATTATAATTAATAAGAATAAAACAATACAATAATTATTATTAAAAATGAATAATTTTAAAGAGGTTACTATTTTAAAAAAAAAAATACGTTTGACACCTTTAGATTTCGTTGTTTGAGAGAGAGAAAAGACCGAATTAAAGTGTAAAGCAAAACATAATTTTCTCTTTTTTCACGTCACATAATTATTATAATTAATAAGAATAAAACAATACAATGAATCAGTATTATTAAAAGTCAAAAAAAAAAAGTTTAAAACAATAGATTACCAAAAAAAAAAAATTAAAACAATACAATGAATCGATATTATTAAATCTGGTTTGGTCATCAACTCAATCAAGATATTAAATGATAGATTATTGATTCAACTAATGAGTTTCACGTTGAAAAAGTTAACTGGTATATATTAAGGAAAAAATATTTGTCCTTTTAAATGATACAATTTGTGTCATTTCACTCTCACAAAGAGGTGGGACCCACACATTTATATTTTTTTATTCACTCTCTCCTCCTTTATCTATCTCTTTCTCTCACTTAAAATGACACAACTTTACATCTTTTAAAATGATACACACTTTTTCTATATACTAATTCATATTATGTTCTCAAAATTCCTTCCGCATAATTTCTATGTTATGCGCCAGAACCCAAAATTATACGTAGCCCCTTCCAAAGGAAGCAAAGAAAAGAAAAAGGGTAGAGCAATAAACTTCAAGGGACTAAATGAGTAGCCAAAATTCCAAACTTAACATCCACAGCCATGATAATG